CAAATTCCAATACGCATTGCGCGCATTAACAATAGGGAGAAGAAATCAGAGAGTCTCTGATATCTATAATATTTTTTTTTTTAATTTAAAAAAAAAAGGAATAAGGAAAATTTAGAAAGGAATAAAAGCGGTAATTATTGCGAAAATCACGAGGCGAACGTGAAGGCAGAGGCGAAAACGAGAACGAATCTGCGAGGAAAAAGGAATCGAAAGAAGAAAAAAAAAAGAAAAGAAAAAGGAAAAGCGGTTAATCACTGACCTCGGGAGAATGGGGAGAGGAATCAAGGGTTTATTGGCATGAATCCGAAACAAGAGACACAACAGGAGCAGACAGAAACGTTGTTGGTGTGGTTGTGGTGGTTGTTAGTTTGCGTTGTGGCGTTTCGATGGAGAGAGAAAGAGAAAGAGAAAGAGAAGAAAGAGGAGCTTCATTTTGTACGAGTCCTTCACGTTTTAGGGAGGGAGGAACGTCACGCGCGAGGCGTGGCGCGTGGATGGCGGTAGTTTGAACGGTTCGGTTTTTGCATGAGTACGGATGTCATAGTCAGCTCCGCTGCTGCTACTCCAATCTCTTTTCTTTTCTTTTTTTCGAGGAATATTCAATATTAATAACAGTTTTTAATTAAAATTTTTTGTAGTGAAAATTGTTAAAATAGATTTTACTTTTTCATTCTAATATTATATTATATTCTAAATTTAAAATGTTTCACTTTTCTTTTATCATAACACTGCACATATGATATGACATAGTTAGTATACATGAGACTCGTGTCAGAGTCAGACCAAGAATCTTTAAAAGAAAAATAAGTCAAGTAAATTTTTTATTAAAGTTTATTTAATTAAAAAATCACATTTTATCATTAAAAAATTATTACGTTTAAAAGACCAATATATTTGGATAAAAATATTTATGACTATTGTGTTAAAAATCATAATATATTAAAATTATTTATTTATTTATTTATTAAATATTTAATCTATTTAACTTATATAAAAAAGTGATATTTGTGAATTTATTAAAAGATAAATACTTTTTTTTTATATTTTTTACATACTTATAAAATGTAGATCCTTCGACATGTTTGCAAGTAAGTTGTCTATTTTTTTAAATAGAATAAGTCGAACTTCTAGGTAGACCAAACCAAAACTTAAAAAAAAAACATATAATAGATAAAAATTATATTTCAACTATAATCATGTATTTTCAATTTAAGTCTAGTAAAGATGAACTTGACTTGATTCATTTTCACTCAGACTTAAAATATCTTTAAGTGTGTTTGTTAATCTGTTTTAAAACATTAAAATGTATTTTTTTTTTTCAGTTTGCATAAAATGCAAAAATAACAAAGTTATTGTCTTGAAACAAAGTGCATAAAGTTAAATTCAACTTTTTATTTTATTTATTACATTAATTTAGTTAATTTAATTACATGTGATAAGTAACAAGAAATGCTATATCAACTAAAATTTAACACATTTAATGAAAGAAAATTAATAGGAAACTAATTATGACTAATATATATATTTTTTGTTACATGTAATAGTATCATTTTAAGAAACTAAAGTTGTTGTTTTCTTTTTCTAATCAAAGAAAACAAACTAAAATCAAAGGTGAAATGAAGAGATTTATGTAATGAGAATATTTCCTCACCTTAAAAGGGATAGGTAAAAATTCAAACACACCACATGTTAGATATGAGAGTGTGTCATATTCTACTTGACCAAATTTTTAGAATTAATTTATAATTGAAATAGATAAGGTTTATGTAATTTTATAAATTTTGAAATGAATAGATATAAAAATAAAAAAAAATAGTGTTGATGGGTTTATCTTTTTTTAGTTTGAGCATACCAACCGGTCGTTTTCAGGTATAAAAGAAAGATTGATGGACATTAATGCCCCCTTTTGTTGAAAATTAAAGAAGTATCAAATCCGCTGCAACTGCAACTGCAACTGTTTTTGCTTCTGTTTTACGTAATCACTATCAACACTTGTACTTCCCACCCATTCAATACCAATAACCTAATCACTTCTTTCTAATTCAAAAACAACACTTTCCAACAAAAATTCAATTCAATTTTCTTCATGCAAAACTTGTAATATGGGAATACGAGAAATACATTGTCATTTTTTTTTTTTGCTAGCAAAAATTATACAATCTTGATACTTCAAGGTTCTATTTTTTCTCAACTATAAATTATTTTGTAAACATGTTAGGTAAATATTACGTTAAATTGGTAAACTAAAGACTGTTCTACCTTATAAGAATATTCTTGAGTTTGTGTACAGTGATTTTAATAATGTAATTGTAATTTACTCAAATCCTCTACATTAGTCTCACTCAAGTGGTTAAAAATACATTACATTTGTGTTATATTTACTATTCTTTGTAATTAAAAGTAAAGTTTACATTTCTTAGAAAAATACGTTTTCCCATCACATAAAAGAAGATGTGATAACTTCGAAACTCATTTTACATTTTACTTGAAAAACTAAGGATACAATGCGTTGTTATTTTTATAAAATACAATGCTCAGTGAGTATTTATTCTTACAAAATTATCGTGGAAACTAAGGTAAACATTTATTAGAAAAACATTTTTCCATCACATAAAATTAGTAAGTAATTCGTGTCCATGTAAGTGTTTTATTTTTCTTAATTACTTATGAAATAAGCATTATATTGTAGTAAAACAATAATATGAAAATGTGTAATGCAACTACACGGATCTAAAACTTTGATTAAATAATAAAATTATTTAAAATATGACATACTTTTTACATTTGTTTCAAGCATAAGTTAACATGAATCCTTATTTCAAGTTTCTAAAAAAATATTGGTCACTGACTTTATACCTTAATCAGTTGGTCACTTCTCTCCACCAGTATGACTCAACCTTATCCCATACGATATCAACTAAAAATTTAGAGGAGATTCAACACTCCACTTCAAAAAATAATTATACTCAAAATGGATTTTTCAACAACTAGGCTCTTAGATCACTGCAACATCATATCTTCATAATGGGTATTCATCTTTAAAAAAATACTTTTTTACTCTAGTTATAAGTCAATCAACACAATACAACTATATGCATTAAACATTCACAACATGACTCTATTCAACACTATAAATTTTATCACCATATAACTTTAATACAAAATCAACTTTCAACTTACTTAACTTAGAACATCATCATAAGAAGCCACTATCTTCATGATTCAACATTTTCAATCAACTAAATTAAGGTTTTTATTCACTAGAGCCACGTATGACGCCATTCAGCCCATGCCTAATGGTGATGAGGTAGAGAGCCTCTGACTTGCTCACACCTGACGTCATACCACTTACATTCAACGTGAATGAAATAAAGAGTCTTTGAGTACATCAACCTTGACATGTAAAACTCAAGTTTGACATTATTTAAATAAAGAACTTATGTTTGACTCATGTCAACAAATATTAATAAAATTTAACGTTATAATTTGTATGCATTATGGTGTTTCTAAAAGATATTTAAAGCTTAATTCTTTTTGAGATTTAAAGATTATCAAAATGAGTTTTATCTCTCAAATTTTTTTTGATACACATGATAAATAAATTAAACTCTTAAACATGCCTAAACAATTAAACTATATGTTAATTGTATTAGACCTTATATATTAGTTTAGCTTGTTTAAGATATAAGTAAAGTGAGTTTTTCCTTTGATACATGATGTACAATTACTTATGAAAGAATATATTTTTTTAAAACCCCTACTTATTTTGTTATTTTATTAATAAAATATCAATTTAAAATTTACTTTAGTTTTAAGAACATGTTGAATGGTTTCTACTTAAATAACGTAAAAATAAAAATTTCAATTAAATTTTATTTATTGTATAAAAAGATACACACAATTGTTTGATCCTACATTCATATATTATGTATTATAAATTAATTAATTTTGATCTTATTTTTTTTACAATTATTTATAACTTATCTCATAGAAAATAATCTCATTATTGATCCAAAAAAAATTCACAATGACATATATCAAACAAGAAATTACCAATTAAATATGAGAAAAATTTAAGTAGAATTTCTTATATAAAATTGATAGTATGTTGTAATCAAAATTAAATTTTTTATCTCAAAAATATATCTTTACATTTTAATATATTAATATACATTGAAAGGTACTAGTAAAATAAAATTCTGCATTTGATTAACGAACAACCATAACAAGACCTAATTGAAGAAACATGTATATGGTCTTGGAAGCATGTAAATGTTTGGTGGTTTAACTACTAACTACTAACTACTAACTAGGGCAACAAATCATATTGATTAAATTTAGGTGAATGGAGAAAGTATTGAGTGGGGGCCATAGGGATAGGGTGCACCAGCCAGCAGCAGAAAAAAAGGGTACATTTAGCAATAATAATACCTCACGCCATCCAACCTTCCTTTCCCCTTCTATCCATTGCGCGTGCATCAGAATAATATTATTTAATTATTATTACTCATTCCTCATTTTATATTTTATTTAATTAAAATATTTTAAAATTATTAATGTTTATAAAAAGTTAGTTTTTAATATTTTTATTATTTAAAAGTTTAAAGATAAAATTATTCAAAAAATAAATATATACACTAAATCAGACTATCTATTTAATATATGTTATAAGTTATAATTTATATTACTACTAATTATTTTTTTCATTTTATTTATTTTCGACATATACCATTGGAGACAAAATTTGTTGTTTGGATAAGCGTTTGGTACGTGAGAATGAGAGATATCGTGTTTCATGATCCATCACAAGGAAAATATAAATAAATAATTGTTCAAATATGATATTTGGTTTTTCAATTATTCTCATAAATAAATTTCACCCGTACATTATTTTCTATGTTGTATTAATTTTAATTAGGACCTGTATTGAGGCAAGTCCACGGTAATTTCTTTTAAAATGGATATAAAACAATGATATATTATCCTAGCCAAGCCACGAGTTGCATGGGATAAATGTGGTTTGACACGAACTGATTTATGATTAGCCAAGGATTGAAAATCAATCAAATTATCATTACTTTATATATATAAAAGGAGAACTATAAGCTCAAACTTAAGTTTACCAAAAGAAAATTACATTAGAAATATTTACAAATATAGAAAAATAAATTCAAGAAGGAGAAAACTCAAATAAGAATGTTCTCTGATAATAAATAATTTCTTTTAAAAAAAAATATCAATTTCTTAGTTATCCTATCTTAAAATATGAAATAATTAACATGTTTATCTAGGTTGGTCATATTAACCATCTTATTAATAAGAGCATAATACAATCATGTTATAACTATCTCTTAGAAATTTAATTGTTAAAGTAGAGTTTGATTATACTAGTATATTTTGAGAATTTTTTTTTAATGATCTTCAATCTATGATAAATGACTCTCTATTCGGCTTACACTATCGAATAAGATCTTAAAACAATAATAATACAATTAA